CGGTGTACCAATAGCAACAAAAACAAATCACTCAACAAGAGCGCTGTGAGAGCGTGTTACGCTCTACAGTTTCTTCTATCATGGATGTAATAAAAATGGCTGAATATGCGTGAAATTGATAGTATGCAATAATTGATTGTTCCCTTTATACTAGCTTACGTGCCACAAGGTATTTAAAAATCTGTAAAAAATTGTATAGAATAATTTTTAGATATTTGTAAATAATTAAATTTCTAACTATAACATGCAGTCGTGTAAATTATGAGAATTTAAATATTTTCTACTAAACTCACCTTTCCGGTATAAACTTTACCTGCTCGTTGGTAATTTTGACAACTTGAAGAATTGTGACTCATTTGGCCGCCGTAATTGCCTCACCTTAGACCTTACCACAGACCTGATGACCCTGTTTACGAGAACGACTGCAAGGGCATAACTTCACAATTGCAAATTAAGCTGACACATGTATACTTTGATGATGGATGTCTTTATTTGTGCTTTTGAAAGCGACCTTGAGAGAAGAAATTGGAAAAGTTAGCAAGTTACAGATAACCTGTATGTTGACGACTTGGCTGCTCCGAATTATCGGGATCTTCAGGGCCTCCATCAGAACTTTAAGGTCTTTCTTCCAGAAGCGGAATTGCCCCCGAAACGTCCACTCGTCTATTTTGTTTATGCCTATATGGCCACCGGCTGAATTGCGAACCTTTTGTCATGGCGCTCGGTAACCGAGGAACAAATCCTCTATCTCCGTCCAAGAAAGATCGAGGTGTAGTCTTCGAGGTCGAGGTGTAGATCGAGCTGCAGGTGGTCACAGAGCATGCTGCAACGCCGACAACGCATCAGTGGCATAACTCTCAGGGGAACAGATGACGGCGATGACTAAAAATCCTATTTGTGTACGTAGTTTGTTACACGTTGTTCTGTTGTCGCACTTGTCGGGCTACGACCGGTCGTCTGGATTGCTTGGCATCGGCGGTACCGGCTTCAGTCACAACTGCGGCACATACAAAAAAAAGTTTGTCTGCAGTGTTGAAAGCTGTCAGAATAATTAAATACGTTTTAACGAAAGTAATTCACTTCATTTCACTATGTACGTTAAGTTTAACACTTTAAATCGTACAAATCAAATAAATATACTTACGTGACCTGACGTTATGGTGCTGCGAGCGCGTGTGACCTTCGTGCGGCTCGCGTTTGAGTGCGCGCCGCCATGGCACCAAGTAAAAGGCATTATGTTTGGGTATGGGTTGAGTACTCAACGTCGCGCGCTCCCAAGCCAGCAGCGCCCCCAAGTGAATGCACACCCTGCCCTAAAACTCTCTATTATGAATTGAAACTCGAAGTGTTCAACGTCGACGCCTCCAGACCACACTATGACGGCTGTTACACGGCCGCTGTCGTACATGAGAACCAAACTGTTAACGAGCTCACGTTTAGAACACGGGACATAATTCATGTGAAGAAAGTCGCTATTGTTCTCTGCTTGTCACCCCAGGTTGCGAACCATCATCTCAAACTTTCGAGGGCCTGTTGACACATCTTGAACAGCTATGTCGCGCCCCCCTGCAGCCATGAGCCAAGCCCACATCATGAAAAGGACGTTAAAGCCAAGCTTGATCAGCGAGCTGGCCGCCGGCAGCGAGGGCTACTTCCACAGTACGAGGCATTTCTCAATAACATTCGCAAGCTCAAGGCCGCCACCACTACAGCAAGTGGTAGGACCACCCCTGTGCCAACGCCCGCCACGGCGATAATGCAGCAGTCGAGAGAGCCACCGAAATTCTACGGATTATCATGTGAAGAAACTGAAAACCACGTGGGAAGGCTCTAAAACCCGGGCAGCTGGAGGTCACTTAGTAAGGCTGGCAGGAATCTGCCCATCGAGAGTCTCCATTAATGAGAGGATTTAGCCAGCACCTTCACGATATGTCACGGGGTCGTGACGTCGAGGAAGGGGAGCAGACAGTACTTCGAAGAATAATCTATTGATTCGAATGAACGTGTGGCCACGTAAAAAGAAAGTAAGGTTACAGCAAAAAATGGTAGTAATGGCGGCAAAGAGAGCGTCGGCCGTCGATCAACTAACACATGGCGAGGCTTGCCGGCATTTATACACTTGTCTTCAAATAGTTTAGCGTTATCGCTAGCGGCGACGTATGTTTCAGAATAAGCTGTACTGTTCACGAATTGAGCATAATCTTAACAAAATGATCTACTGCTGTCCCTAAGCTTCTCGAAGAGTGTTGGCAGGGTTTGCGCTGAAAATTGCTGACAGTAAAACGGAGTGATAACAAAACACGAGGAGAGATTGTGGCAATATAGTCCAACATATAAGCTTACGGAATAGGTTTGAAGTTCTGCTTATTGAACAATGCGTAATAAACACGTGATGAAAGTTATTTTGAAGCATGCCAACAATAAAATGTTCCAATGTGGGTGCGTTATTTTTGATACTGCTCGTATCAATGATTGTCTTCACGGATATCCCAGTAAGAAAATGTTTCAATAATTTGGCGGTTACATTCGCTGAACAGTGGCGCAACCTGGCGACATATGTGTACCCTAAGGCAGCTCTCATTTCTTTTCATTACGTACTACGTACTTCTCATTCGCAGTAGGCAAAATTTTATTTGTGAAAGCTTTATTATGTCTGCCTGAATCATTTGGATTAACTGGTCCAATCTTTGATGCCATCGATTAGCGAAAATGCCTTCGGTTGGTCATTGTTTCATTGTGCGTAAACAATATGATCGCTGTGTCAAAGAACGCCTATTTTTGAACACTGCTTTGAGGGACTAACGACGCTAGTGGGAGGCATCAAATGTTGTTTTGTTTTGATTTCGTGTTAGCAGTAGTGCTCATGTTGTGGAGCTAAATTTCACCGAAGAGTCATCGCAACAAAGCAAACAAAGTAGAAGCAATATTTTCGAATGTAATTTGGGAACACGTTACCAAGCACAATGGGTGATTTTCTACGGACATATATCTGTTGATTTCTCATTCTTGCGCAAATTTTGTTGAGTGGATTAAAGATAGCAAAGGCTGTAGCTGTTGCACAATTTTCGAGAAAATACCTTGTCTAAACTTGGCCAGTAACACGCCCGATTTTATGATAGAAGCCACAAAAACGTAATAACTTTCAAAGTGACCTTTAAATAACGGCAATAGGAAATTAACAACCAGCTGAAACAGAAGTTCTGACATGAAACAGTTCGTGTAGTAGGCAGAAAATATGTACTTGCACTTTAAACTAAAGTAGAAAAAAAAACTTCCTGACACAGGTGAAACACAGATACATCTCGCTTTTCTATATGAACTTTCACTTTAATAAAATGTTCCAACTGACTGTAGATTACCTTAAAAAGCTTATATTTGTTACCGTGTCATGTACTCGTTCACATTGAAAACGTTCATATTCTAGAAACAGGGGTGTTTTAGGAGAATGCGTTAGATTATCGGCGTTTGAGCGGGGGTAATTTATTGAAACGCTAACACTACTAATCAAATATATTTTGTCTGACATATTGACTCCTTAACATTTATTTATCTCATATATACCAGTGAAGAGCCGGCAAGGTTTCCTGAATGTATTGATGAATCACCACAAAAGTATTAATGCATTTTGCAGCTTCATCACCGTGGACTTACAAATTAGTGTTAGATCTTTGTAGGCCTACAACTTCCTTTGTGACATTTGTGACATTCGTGACACCTTTTCTGAACATGACGAAAATACTCAGTGCCAGTTTTGAGCACGCGTTTTCATGCTACATCTGCATATAGTGTGCCAGGGTTCTCTGGGCTGTGACAGAGTGCATAAGTAAAACATATATCGTAGCATATACTTTCAAAGATAGCAATTGACCTGCCGCACCGCACCCCATCCGAGATCTCTAAGGCACGTGGAGCCCAAACCACATGCTATGGATTATCAAATTATAGCGAGAATGATAAGAGAGTATTTCTATGGGCGGCATTGCGGAGATTGCACGTGGTCAAATAAACACTATCAATATGATACGCGAGCGAGCCTCCAAAGAACCTCATGCTCTAAACCATAAAGGAAAAAATAAATTACTATCATAAGAAGTGTTTGTTTATTCTGAAACATAAATGAGTGATGTGGGATTATAGCAATGTTATCCGGTGTTTTATGCCTGACAACAGCGATATGTTTAAGAGAGATGCTGTAGTAGAGGGTTAGGCTAGTTTTGATGAGTTGGTGTTTTTCATAGCGCAGAGACATTGTACAGTACGCAGGCGTCTGGCCTTTTGTTTCTATCGACTTCCGTGGCTGACGTCGAACAAGCGACTTTGGCATCAGTAGCCGTCCACCGCAACCGCTACACCACCGCGGCGGCAAATTGTATAGTGCTTAAAAGTACACAATATTCCTGTAAGTTTTCCCTTAGATGTCGTGAAAAATTAAGAGGGTATTTCAAATGTATACTAAAGACATGTACTCTGTAGAAGCAAACATGATCAATGAACACACTCCAATCACACGCAATGAGTCAGCCGTTGATTAAAACGTTCTTTGGTTGTGTGAAAGAAAATTATAGTATATTGTGCGTTTGTGTTTTATCAGGCCAAATACGTGAAATCTGTCACTTCCTTACAAATATATTTTTCTGAATCAACAATCTAGATTTCAGTCAAGCGATTACAACATTGCAAGAATTAATAGTAACGGTGCAGGCGCTGTGCTATTCCCGCATTCGTTACCCGTTCGCTAAGCAAAAAAAGAATGCTGACGAACGCATCGAAGACAATAGTTCAGTTAGAGTGGTAATGCTATGCACAAAAATTGTCAGGATGCGGACGTTAGCTCCGCCATGGTAAGAAGATAACGTTATCTATTGTTTGGCTGCTGTATTTTCCAATAGTATTTCCCACATGCAAAAAAACATGGGTAGAACAACTCGTCATACTATGACCTTAGCTTGTCAAAAAGTATGCAGAATGTTATCACTCCTCCAAGGCACCAGTATTTAAGAGACGGTAGGGTACCACAGGGAACGAAGAGCACGTTTTGTTCTCTTTTTTTGACAGTGTGTATATATTAGACCACGACAGAAGAAAAACTTGAACATTCCCTAGCGCAGATTATATCACAGCGTCCTTGGAGTTCTTTGGTAAGTGATGATTGTTATTTTCTTAAAAACATGTCAACCACTGTAAGTTTATTTATTCTGCTCAGTAGCATAATGCATACTTATGCAGCACGTGTTTTTCACCACACCATTCTATAATTGTTTCTATGCGAAATTTTGTAGCCCGTACGAAACGGCCTTTGAATTAAAAAAATGGCATTCTATATGCCCTGCAAAACTACAGCTCAGTGTGGCTCTCTTGAGTAAAAAATGATTAAAAATTCACAGATGCTAAGGAAGTTGTGTTATCACGACCAACTTCGCTAGCGACACTTGAGAATTTAAGTGCGGGAAAGAGCAAACGCAGCTAGTTAGCGTTAATGCGTCATGTTCCAAATGGCGCATGCGTAGAACGTATATGCAGCCTAAAGCTCTTAGGCATGTACGCTATTTGCGGATTACAGCCTTCAACGCAAACTCACGCGAGGGATTCTCTGTAGGGTGTTGGAATAGCGGCACCTGTTGGAGAGGGAGCCATCCACTTCACTTAATTCACTGCCGTGATTTATTAGACATATTCATTCAGAAATAGTGCTCGTGCTTGTTTATACTGCCCACTAAAAAGCTTTGTCCTTGGGATACACTGCCAACTAGCGGCGCAGAAGGCTGAACAAGAGTCGTTTACAAGGTTATCGCAGGTTGTCAGTAGACGTGACGAGATGGTGATGTTGTATTCTTTCGCAGTTTGCAACCAACTGAATTCTGCATGATAGCTTAAGGTAGATAACATGTCAAAGTGCCCCACAAATGGTATAATACACTTTAACAGAGGCGTCGTGACGATGACTCTGGATCAGCCCGACATAGTGGCACCCTTGGTAATTCTACGTTGCATTTACTGTTTCCATGTCTAGTTCGTGCCATGTTTACTTTCGTTAGCGTTAGCTGAAATGCCCTCCGCTGTACTCAAAGATCGCCATTTGCCACGCCGAGCATTCATTTTAAATTTAACATTGAGCCACATGCTAACCTATATTGTAAGCATTTTCTACTGTACTAAACTTCCTAAAATCTTGCTACGGATCTCGGGAAAGCCAGCGATCAATTTCCAATGATCGTAGCGTTTCGTATCCTCCATGATACATCTCAAACCGCTTAAATGCAATGTTCCATGCTAGCGATATACGATGTGTTGACAAGGCACACGGAGTCTATATTCCGCGGCCCTCTGCTTGTTCAGGTACCTGTGAAGATGAAGACCTGGTGGACCTTCCTCATTTTGCTTGTGTTCTGTGTTGTTCTGGCCACCTCCGAAACGAGTGAGTAGACTGTTACTGATATGCCTTTGAACGAGCAGGAAAGTGTTGACTCACTGACGTTTGAAGGGTGCATTACGAGATGTAATTTAGCCTTTGGAATTGCCGCTGTTGTCAAAAAATTGCTCTTTGTGCAGCAAAGGCTGAAATATTACTCAGAGATGCCCTGTAACTTGAAGGAGTACTGCTGACGCTGACATAATGAAGAGAATTTTCGCACATAAGCAAAAGCAGAAATGACCTTTCCGGCTGGACGCATTACTATTGACGTTTTCATACACCAAAGTTCACTTACTTTGAGCAAGTACAATTTTCGTATAGCTGTGCGGCATCCCGAAGCAAATGATATCATGAAAACACTTGCTAACAAATGACTGAGGCAGTACTATATACTTGGGGGTGCAGATTTTTTTGGCTTTTCACTATTTTTATGTCCATAAAATGTGAAAAATTTGTGAACTTAGTACGAAAGAGATCAATAGGTGAGTGCCTCACCGGCGTCTCTTTCCGGTAACTTGTTTTATACGGATGTTTCGGTGTTTCAGGATGTTGTTGCTATTGGTGACCTTTTACGCCGAAATTTGGTGGCACGCCTTTTTATAAAATATTCCTAACTTTGGTGCTCACAATTAAGGCAGATGTATTTGTGTGTGGTGTAATGGCTCACCTGTCACTTGTTCCTCTTCTCCACTTCTGTTCTAGAACTGAGAGCCCACAGATTAAGCACTTCATAATATAAATAAATAAATTAGTTTGGCTGGTTGGGTTTTGCATTTCCGTTGTACTATAGCTATAAACAATGTTAAAGACTCTTTTGAGTCTTTCTTGTCGTGTAAATTACAAAACAACACAGTAGTATTTCTTAGTTCAAGTGACCGAGGTTCAGCAGCCTCTAGTGGCATTCTGAAAAAAAAAAGCCGGAGGAGGAAATATTAAGCGGAAGGGCAGGAAGGGTAGTGCTGATCAAATTCACAGATTTTTTTTCGTTTTGCCCAAGCCCTGTGTAGAGTTTGTGGTGGACGTCTACGTGCATGAATAAGGTGTTAGTGCTGTGCTTTCTCCCTAGTTTTTTAGCAGGAATTGCCAAACGCAACTAAGAGCGAGATCTATATTGGCGTAAAAGTAGCGCAAAAAGATGAAGACAAGACGGTGAACACCACAAGTTCCTACTCACGACATGCACAGGAACTAGTTGAGCGTCAACTTTAGATGTATATTTTCTGTTTAAGCAATAAAGCGGTCAGTTCTGAGGAATCGCCTGTGGTGTTCACTTTTTTGTCTTCGTCTTTCTGCGCTACTTTTGCGTGGTTATGGATCAATACCAACCAGCTCGCTTCTTCGTTTTGAGAAAGATCTATCCACAGCACCGGGAGACTTTCACGGTACTTTTCATGGAATGTTAGTGCGTATTGGTCAATTTCGCAGCGTCAAAATCACCACGCACAAGACGACCCAGGGACCCCAACTGTGAAAAAGTGCTTCCTTTAAGACCAGTAAGTTTTTTTTTCCTTCAGTATTAAGAAACGAGAGCATGATCGGGACACCGATGATCATGTATTGCATGCTAAGCGATTCAAACTGCACTAAAAATTAAAACTTTCTTTTCCACGTAGAATGATTCCTGTGCACTTCGGTAGCAATATCGCCTGATATAATATGCGCCTCAAAATTGTGAAGAAACTGTCACTGCAGCCAACCCTTCGCAGAAAGCACTTTATACTCTTTACCAGTTCAAGCTATTGAGAAGTCCTCATGGCTAAACTTTTGTGCCAGCTTCATACCCTGTTCAACAATACTTCATAGCTTTAATACTCTGTGCTACCATGAAAATATCTGGTTCACTTTGTCTCTGAGTTAATAGATTACAGGAGTACCTTAGAAAGTAGCAAGAAAAAGCGTTAAACTGGGATGCTTTTCTGATGTTGCTAGTATTTCTACATTCGAATTGCTTTTTCAGGGGAGACTTCAGGGAGGGGGGGGGGAAGAGACGCGGGGGGTTGTGTCAAAAAGTGTACGATGAAAAAGCCATTCACCAATGTCAGGTGATTACCTAGGCCCGTAGAGTCTGTTGCGGGGAGCGGATGTAAATGCCTTAATGAATATGTCGGCAAGCCAGCAAAACGTTTGTAACTCTTGAATCTGGAATGAGGCCTCGTAAAATGGGCAAGTTGAACCATAGAAGACGCGTGGCTGAATTGTTCTCACAGAACGGTCCCATTCACAGACGTGAACATTCCATAACGTTACCTTCTCTGTGCGGTTTAAACTATCACGGAGGTTAGCCAATGCGGAAGTATAACTCGTGGGAGAGAACGGAGGTTTTCTTTTTATCGTAACGATTTGCGAAATAATTACAAGTGGTTGCTTTGTAAACCATGGATGGGCAGGCAAGCCTTAGCAGGGTCATTTGAGCAACGAATTCTAAAGGTATTACTACAGCAGTAGAGGCAGTGAATAACTGAATGATGCAATACAGTAACGTACACCGAGACACTCTGCCACGAGACACTGAAACACCGAGACGCTGTGCATATATAGTGGTTAGCGAGCATTGCGGCAACTTCAGAAACCTCAGGAAATTCAATTTAGCGCCGACGCTCACCTAACATGTACTTTTCAATGCTCGGTAGGACAATTTTAGCTATTCAAGTATTAAAACCAGAAAAGTGACACAAAAGTTTTGCGCAATACCAAACTTTTTCAAATAAATGTTTTACTTATGCTATGAGTTATCGTGCACTCTAGACATTTTTTTATGCCTTGTGCAAACATTAGTGGCAACGACATAAAGCTAGACAAACGCTCTGAAAGTGTCACGCAAAATGTGTGAAGAATCTTTTTGAAATAAAGCTGATATGTGTATGAATGCAATATTGTTTCATTTGCTGTTTGTGACAGCTATCACCAGGATTGAGAGCCAAGTGCACATTTCTTTGCCAAGGATTTCCTGTGCGAGTAGGACATGAGCCCGACGGAACACCTTGCGACGTGAGTAGCATACTTTATGAGCGTCTTACTTCTACCGAAAAATGATGAGTCTCACGGACTCATTGAAGAGACTGGCACTTCTAGGCCACCCACTCGGTTAATTGCAACTAAATTCTCTTCTGACGAGTGCATGAATCCTATTTTGAACGAGATCATGTAAAGTGCGTTTAGGTGTGCATACAGCTTCAGAATAAAAAAAAATAAGTATTTCCAGTGTTTCCGAGACAGAACAGGTGAATGTGGGGAAGCAATAAAATGCGAGTCGTTGCACGTGCGTTTTGTTTCACTTTCCCAATCGATGTCGGTGGCTTGATGACGATGGATTTGCTTGACGGCGATGAATACAACCTCCCTTCTGCCCGTGCCGACGTTCCTCGCATTTCTTAGGCTCCTTTTTGAAACGTACGACTTGCGTGCGACACATGGAGAGTTCAAATAGAAACTGAACACGTCACTAGCATGTTCTTGTGTTTCACGATGCATGAGACAAAGGCACTTGGTTGACGAGGCCTACTGAAGACACACCATGAGGACATATAAAAAAAGGCTTTGCCAATAACCGTGTGCGTAACATAGCGCGCACGCGTTCACATTGCTATCAGTGTAAGCTGGCGCATGTAATGAAGGAGCAAAACCTAAAGACTAGTAAACAGTGTGGTGTAATGCACGCTTTCTTACTAGTTTTAAAATGCAGCCAACTGTAACTTTCACACAGTGTCATGAAAGGCTGCATCGTATGAGCGTACCTTGAAGTCGGTGCCGCCTTCGCGAGAAGCTGGGTGTGCCACCCTTCGCCTAGGCGAGCGCACGCCACCACTTCTTAGCATAGCGTGCAAGCATGGCCATAGACATGTGGGTGAAACTGTAGATATAAATTGAACTCGTGTATTGTAACCGAGTGTGCCATGTCAGCCCTCAGGTGTTGTTCGAAACAAAATGGCCGTTCTGTCAAAGTTATTTCCACCACAAATCTTGCGTACGACTGCTTTAATTTTCGCATATGTGTCTCTGGTGACACTATACTGTGGCATTGGCCGAATACTATTGGTTCGCTTTGAGTAAAGTTTGGAGTGAAATAGGAGAACTGTACACTTGTGCGTACGCAAAATCATGATGGTACATATCTTCAAGGATGGCACGTATTTGCATATACCTGTTTTCTGTTAAAACAAAGTCATTCAAGTAATTTAGGCGCACTCAGCGAGTTCAGCTGCGCCTACCTATGCGTGTCCTGCACAATCCACTCTGGCCCCACGCTCTTGCAATCCTGACACAGGTCACAGAGCCTATGTGAAAGGGAGTGCATGGTTCGAAGTCTGCTCTAGCAGGTGCTGCAACTACCCCACCTTTTCACCAGGAAGAAGCGTAGTCCTCCAACAAGTTTATTCAATGAATTCTCATGAGATATTTTGAACATGAAACAGCCCCTCTATTAACTAGACTATAGCTCCTATAGCATGTATACACTATGCAAATATAGGCTTGAGCCATAAACTGTACTTCATATTGCGTATAGCATGTATACACTATGCAAATATAGGCTTGAGCCATAAACTGTACTTCATATTGCGTATACTCTTTATCCGGAATTCCTAACATCCAAACCAACGCTGAAGTTTTGGTGGCTGGCAGGAAATCAGGAAATCTGGACGAATTCCACGAAAACGTAGTTTGGCTAGGTTATATGTTCCGTATTCGTATACAAACGAAGTCTTGGAAATTCACATACCCTGCACTGCAGTAGATGAATCTGCAGCGAATATTTTAATGTTATAATATTGTTGGCTCCATCTTTTTTGTGATTGTTATGACTTTCGATCGTGATTATAGCTGTTACTTTTCTATTTCGTAACATAGGACATTTTCAGTAATTTCAGGATCTCAGCTTATGTTGCCGGACTTTCAACCAGCCACCTGCGGTCGCATGTGCGTTTCTACGGGCCGTGACCCACCCAAACTTTTTAATTCTGTAAGGAACACTGGGCCTTTCTCTCCCGAAGTGTAGCGAAAAATTGGGAGAAGATTCTTTCGCATCCTAATAAATGTTATCTCTTATCTATCTCTAATGGTGACGGTCTCATGACGTTTCCTATTTGTTTTTCCAACCGCATTAAAAGTGTACGTTTTATACCCACTTTTATATCGATTTGGCCATCCCGTAAAATACCCATAAGCGATGATACTTTATGAATTACCACTTTGAAGTCAGAAGACGCGTGCTAACTGAATATTTTTCGCTTTCGCCACGTAGAACACACTGGACATTTATGTGTAACAAAAAAATGACTTCATTATAACCACCGCAAGACATCAGAAGATTACGATGTTATTTTAAATACAGAAAAAACAGCAATAAAAAAGAAACAGAATGAATGAGAAAGACACCTGACTAACTATTGTGACTGAAACAAAGAATAGCAATAAATAAAGATGAACCTTTGTAATAATTCACAATATGACAAAAAGCACTCTACTAAGAAGTAAAATATTTTAAAATAGACTAACAAAACACAGTTGTATGTCCAATCACGTGACGTATTCGATATGCACTCTCCCAAATTTCGCGTTTGCTCTAACTGCTCATCTGTTCCCTCTTCTCTACTTTGCCACTTCTTTACTAGTCGTGGTATCACAGACAACCGGCGAAATGTTCTCACAATACTGAGTATGAAAAGAAGTCACAGCTTTACCGCAAAGGCAAAACAATGAACGTGATAGCAACAAATTGGAAGGTCTGGCGCAGAATGGAAAGCAGATCGAAACGTGCCTCGCGTTTTCCACACACAAATGACACACGAAACGTACTAACAGGTACTGATGCACGCGAAGAAGCATCTCAGTTCTTACTTCAAGTGTTAATTACTGCAACATTTCAATTTCGCTGCGTGATTCTGGTAGCAACAGAGCACTCAAAGTGTTCATTATTTGGAATTCTCGGTAACGTTTACTCATGTGTATATGCCTCCCGCAACAGACATAGTAATGTCGAAGGTGGCTAGTAAGTAGGGTGGCTTCGTTATTTTAGAATTATCACACGGATTAGTTAAAGCCGGGTATATGTTAGCACACCTGACTGTTTACCTGTTTTCACGTTTAATGTTTTTTTTTTACTTGCAGCGACGTGGCAAGAAACGAGCTCCAGGTTTATGCCGGAATGGCAAATGCATCAGACCAGATGAATTCAACACATCACCAGCCTTTAGCACACCAAATTTGTCTACAGCCGCACCTAAGCAGTAACCCGGCGTAAACACTTCAGCCTAATTTAGCACTCCTTACCTCATACCCTACAGAAGCATATTATTGCGGTTTGTTGCTCAGCCAGGTGCTAGAATATGTGGCGAAGTACACATGCTATGAAAAAGCAATATTTTCTCGAATAAAGCTATTCTTGATTTTCAACCTGTTTGTAGCTCCATTCATTCCTGTTTCGACAATTTGGTTTTTCCTAGCAGCGCACTCCTCTGATCTTGGTTGTGAGAAATAATAGCGCATTCCAATAGCAATTTTTTGTTGATCTCTCGCCGGAACATTAAGGTGATTACTACCTAGTTAGTAATTGAATAGTGCTGACTCGAATAATTAGCCCATTACTAAATTGTTGGTAACACCCGCAAACACAGGTTTTCGCCTATTCTGTTAAGTGTTCGTGTGCGTTGCCATATTTAAATAATTGTATTACAAAAGTATGGCATAAAAATGAATTGACATGGCCTTCGTAAATTATGTAATGGCTTCGAAATACGTCATGTAGCTATACTAGGGTGAGTGTGCTTCACAGCAACATGCTTGTAGAGAATCGATCACATGATCATATGATCAATTCAGATTAACATTTAATCATACATATGCCTATCGCAAATACCAGTGGCATTGGCCCAGCGCCATACCTGATTACTAGACCAGTGTCCAGTATGGCACTGACACTGGCACAGTGCCACGCTGCACGAGGCACACTGGCGCTGCACACTGGGACACTCATTATCGGCCGAAGTGTGGCTAATAAATTGTTTCTAAAATTTGTGGCCATGCACACATCGTAATTAAGGCTGAAACACGCACACAGTGAAAAAAGAAAAAAAGAATAAAACTGAGTGAGCAGGAATCAAACCCATTACCTTAACACATCAAAAGTCTGAGCCAGACACGCTGCCCACTACTCTTACCAGAAACACGAAAATTAGTTAATTTTTCTTCTTCCTAAAAGTAATTCAGGTATTCTATATTTAGAGTTTGTCGTTTACGTACGCAGTGTTTTTTCTCTTTGTGCTCGCGCCAAACTTCCGATTTTTAGCTCATTCTTTGCGGATTGCCTTGGATCACATCCATCTGGCACGTTTTGCCGCAAAGCTTGTTAGCGTAGCTGCAGATGTGTTACGCCAATCGTAGAGCCTCGCTATGCGGTTAGTCATACCTATGTATAAAACAACGTTCATCTGAAGTGCTCCATAAACACTGTAGATTTCAGCCCTCGATGGTTTGGAAGTATTTTCGGCCCTCCTTGTTTACGTTCCGTGAACGACAGCCGCAGCAGTTCATTTTAGCCGAAATGACCACTAGGCTTAGGGCTGTACTTCTTGTGCCACGGTTGCTGTGTGTATCGTAGATATTGAGTAAAAAAGAGTCTAATAGTCGTTACAATGTAGTTTTTATCATAACTGATCCATGAATGGTCATATTTTCACCTTCGATTACAAAAATCGGAAGCTGAAAACACCAGGATTTGGCAATGCAGTGGATAACTGCGGCCGGGGACATGCGGCTTTCTGCGGTACGAGCCGCAACGATTCACTGCTAGAGTAAGTTGGTCTTGATTATCAGACTGATATTAATGTCATTTTGTGTTGTGAATTCTCAGTTCTATCAATGCCGTTAATGAAATACATTGACGAAACTCAATCAAACTTTAGGGAAATCGCACCCGCGCCAAGGGGGGGCATAAATCCGTGGGTGGGCTGGAACCTTTTTTTCAGAAATTCTTCCATATCCTCCCCCGCCCCCTTTGCCTCCCACCTCACGGAGCAAGCATAGGTAAAACACGATGCATAAGTTTGGTGCTCCCTGCCCCCCTGCAGCAACAAAGTTGTCGTTTGTCCCCCTAAGCAAAATCCTGCCAGTGTCTCTCACCCGGGCGATCACCATATGAATGTTTTAGCGTACTCACATCCATTGCCTAAGGAAACATAAGCTTTATAGGTGTAGCACATAAATGAAAATATCATCATATTCGGTAAATTTTACACTCGACATGCCGTGATTCAATATGAACTCTTACAGAAAGTGCGGCGATCGTGCCTAGTTTCTACTAATGTGCCGCTAACGTTATCAGTGTGCGGTAGAGACTGTACAGCCTGACCAGTGCCTCCCAGCGCGCTTTTAGACACTGGGCTACACTGTACAATTTGGCCCAGTGCATTTCAGCGCACTGGAAGACAGTGACCATGCTGTACAGTGTGTCCCAGTGCCTCGCAGCGCGCTTTAGTATACTGGGACACACTGTACAGCGTTTCCAGCGTCACCCAGCGAGCTGAAACGCACTGTGGGATACTGGAAATGCTGTTTTTTTCTATAGGGATGTGAATATCCTATGATCATATGAACTCACTGAGGATATGATATAGTCATATTAGTTCCCACACTCCCAAGATTATATGCTCATAAGACTATGAGAACTCATATGAATTGATCACGAGAACACCTATGCAAACGCATGCCCAAGCAAGTCTTCAAGACTTGGACACAGCAGATTTCTACCGTAGGAGCAGCTTGAAGACTAGTACACCACAGCTTTGGGATCACTAACCGCGTACTAGTTAGCAGTTTTAGAACTCTTGAGATAATTGTTGTTTTCCACGCATCACCATGTCCCCTTCTGTTTGATTTTGTGTACACTATTACGTAGCACGAAACTTCTATTCCATCATCATCATCATCACCATCATAACCATCATCACCATCATCATCATCGTCATCATCATCATCAGCCTGAGCAGGTCTACTGCAGGACAAAGGCCTCTCCCATGTTCCACCAGTCAACTCGGTCCTGTGCTTGCTGCTGCCAATTTATACCCGCGAACTTCTTAATCTCATATGCCCACCTAACCTTCTTTCTCCCCCTAACCCGCTTGCCTTCTCTAGGAATCCAGTTCGTTACCATTGATGAGCAGCGGTGGTTCCGTCTACGTGCTACATGCCCGTCCCATGTCAATTTCCTCTTCTTGATTTCAACTAACATATTCTTAACCCTGGTTTGTTCCCTAATCCACTATGCTCTCCTTTTTCTCTTAAGGTTACACCTGCTATTTTCCTTGCCATTGATCGCTCCGTTGTCCTCAATTTAAGCTTTACCCTCTTTGCAAATCTCCAGGTTTCTGCTTCGTAGCTAAGCACCGGAAAGATGCGGCTGTTATATACCTTCATCTTGAGGGATAGTTGCAATCTACCTGTCATGATTTAAGAGTGCTTGGAAAAAGTGCTCCACCCCATTCTTATTCTTCTAGTTACTTCCGTCTCGTGGTTCGGCTCCATGGTGATTACCTGTCCTAAGTAGACATAGTGTTTTACAAATTCAAGTGCACCGGTGACCACCACCGGTAATGCATACCCTCACCAGAGAATGATTGGCCACCCTGGTGCAGTATCTGGCCACTACCTTCAATATGCATACGTCTATTTCAAGGTTGTCGATAAAATTAGAGCTCGCCTAGATATTGCTTACGATGCCACCATTACAGCAAAATACACTGCGACATCTACGAAAGATCTTGCAACGTAGGTGGCTTAGTAGTTGGTTAGTTAAAAACACTAATACAAGTTCCCTGGTTAACAGCTAAAGTTACTAGCTGTACTAGGTGGTGGCTAGTAATAGTATACTGCGAAGGCAGTAAAATGCTCTAGAAACTAGTAAACACATGCGTTTACTAACTGACTATTAACTTTTTTCCAAGAGTGTAGGTGCCATTGATGAAATGACTTCATGGTGGCCTCTAAGATGGTTTCATGTGATTGCACGTTACCTCTAAATGCACACTCATCATTTGTGTTAAGATCATAATTTTGAAGAAGATTATGTAAGATGTCATGATTGGCGCTTACGTGGTTCCTGTAGAGGTGGAATATTTATGTGGCAAAAGGCCATACAATGTCAAATGAGTGCAAAGGGATTAATAGCACAGCATGTCCATAGTAAGGCCTGGAAATATTGTAGTCCATATGACGATGATTTATCATAATTTTCCGGAAAAGAAACTTCCCCTTAAGAATGACAGTATTGTTTATCAATGAGTGGAGGCGAAAATGCTGTAGGCCCGCGTGCTCAGGTATGGGTGCACAAAAGAACCCCCGGTGGTAGAGACTTCCGGAGTACTCCACTACGGCGTCTCTTATATACATATGGTGGTTTTCGGACGATAAACCCCACATATCAATCTTTTAGCAATGCATTGAGTAGTAGCTGTGTAGTCCGGGGTGTGAAGCAGGGGCGGCAGCTATACTTGAGGAAACAGAAGTTGGCAAAAAAAACACAATTTGGCAAACGGAAGAGATAGGCGCCCACATGAAATTCACTTGCCAACGATAATATAGAGATTAACGATTAGTATGAAGATTATCGTTATAGGACGTGTCATTTACCTTCGTCATCCCTTCACGTCGCGTTATACCAAAATCGTGTACGTGGAGCGATAACAAAACAGCCACGACTGTTCTATGAGTGTACATGTAGTCATGTTTTACATGACAGGCATACCACGATTATCATGTTTAGTCATGTCATTTACCTTCGTCGTATATTCAAGCTACATGATACCAAATGTGGTATATGTGGAGCTAGTGAAACGGCTGCGAGTGCGCTATAAGTATGGCATGTTGTCACGTTTTTCACGACACACATCTCGTGATTATCATGCTTCAACGTGTCATTTACCTTCGTCATCTATTCACGTCACGTAATGCCAAATTTGCTATATGTGAAGCTACCGAAAGGGCCACGAGCACATCGTGAGCGTGGTATGCAGTCATCACAAGTGATAACATAAAAATCACGACATGCCTGTCATGCCTTCAACGTTGGGGCATGTCACAAAGCAAAGAGGAGGCACACAGCACGAGCGCTCGTGCTGTGTGCCTTCTCTTTGCTCGTGTGTGTGTTTTTCCCGCGCTCGAAGTTTGCTGAACAATTATGAATTACCATCTAGCTGACCTTTCTTCTCTATCACATATGTTCGTCATGCAGTCATGTTATACCATACCAGTTTAGCAACATGTTATGTGAACAAACTACCACAAGAGCAGCAAACCTATGCAATGTAAATCATGACATTCATTACCTACATGTCATGGTTTTTATGTTGTGACTAGTCAATTAGGCTCGTCATACAGTCATGTTTTACCATACGAAGTTT